TCTTATATCACTTTTGTTTAAAGGGAAAAAAATGCAGTTTTTAGACTCTGTACTAGTATCAAATGACCTTTAAGCTGACCTTTGACCGGTATCAGCAGATCGTTAGAGTTATAGTATCAGTCTCTGAACTGAAAAAGCTGGATTGGTGTATCCCTAGAATTTAGTAAACAACTGGTTTTGAGAATAGAAGCAAAAAGAATACTAGACTACATCTGAATGGCAATGATTGTGGTAAGGATTTGAGTCATTGATGAAATACCAATGGGAGCAACAAGGCCAGTACCCCCAGCAGAGGCCATCACATCATGTTTTGGATGTAACTAAAACTTATGTGAAAACTACATCCGTCAGTCTACACGTTTTTCTACCTGCATTCACTGTGCACTCATGAAGGCCAGGTGAATACAGCCTGGCTCCATATAAAAGACTCTCTATTTCATTCTGCTCATGCTCTCCAAAGAGTACCATTCTTTCCCTTGTGCAGTTTTCTGGACAACACACAATGCAAATGTACACACAAACTACACACATATTCAAAGTCTGCACACACGTGTCACCCATCCACACACCTGTTTGAATAGATAAAGAAAACAGCAATACATCTATACCTCCAGAGAGCTTGCTTAGATACAGGTGCCAGTGAGTAGATACAGAAATGCATGAAGATAAAACAATGTACATATGGGAAGCTCTTGATCAAATCTAGGCTGATATGCACCCATGCTGTGCACATTCTTTTGTTCGGGTTTCAGTGCATTGTTTCAAGGCGAAGAAGGAGAAACAACGTGGAACAAGAAACAGAAAGCTTTACAGGTGAAAAAAAATCCACATGATCGGAATTCAAAACAAGCAAAACAAGACCGCAACTACAAAAGCAAGTCTGTTCCTTACCATTTTGTCATCTTGATGATTAAAGGGGAAGGAAAAGGGTCCATGAAATGTGACCAGGTTGGCCGTGCATATTAAGTAGCTGCAAAACCAATGCTGGCTTTGCCCTGGCTGCTTGGCTGACTGACACGGGCAAGATGGTGCGCCACTTTTTGCTTGTCCAATTACTGGCAATCGCTCAAATTGTTTGGTGAGAAGCATTCGACCTACTTCTGGACACAAAGCACCACTGGCCTGAATACGGAGGAGCTGCGGGACCACGTGTGATGACAAGTGCCCATTAGAGCCTCTTGTCTTTGGCCTAGAAATTAATTTTAGGCATCTTCTGTCTTTTTGCAGTGTGGCAGCTCTATGTCTGTTTAGCAATGAGGTGCATTTTTTGTGAATAAGTTGGAAAAGTGATGTGAGAAGCAAAATATTATCTTAAAGGTGCATGGTGTAACTTTTCTGGTGGAGGGTCTGTTAAATGTTTTTTTCTCCATGGAAATGATATAGTATTGTCTGGAATGTTTCACAGTATGGCATTAAACCTTTTGATCTTCATGGAAACCAAAGCAGGTCGAGTTACAGGTCAGATTTGTGGAGAGGCGATCCTGCTCACGGTCAGAGTGTCTGTATTTCTATGTATTTTTGAGCTATAAAAACACCTGTAATTAAATAAATAAGTAAGGTAGAGCTGTTTAATGTCCTACTGTGGAACATCCCAGGCAGAGCAATGACACCTCTATAGAAACAAGCAGGTCCACCAGGATCACACACAATGCACAAGTTATTAGGAGTGTATATGGTGCATTATCAGCTACACAGCAAAAACTGCAGGGTTAAAATTTTAGGGTAAAATATTTCAGAGTTGTTTTTAACACCAAAAGTGTTATTTTAACTATTTGAAAGTTTAATGGGGGTTCAAGTGGGGGTTATTTGTCAGAGTTGATGTGGTTGAGGTTAATTCTACTTCCTCTAGTGTTAATTCAACTTCCCTTAGTGTTAATTCAACTTCTCTTAATGTTAATTAATTAACTCCTCCAATTCACCACTTCAAACTCTTGTGAGAGAAGACCAGTTTGAACCAGTTTTGTACATAATTTCATCTTAAATTAACTAAAATTAAGTGTAAAAATAAAATAAAACGTCTCTGTGTGTTGTTTAGCTAAATCAGGATAACTCTACAAAGTGTTATCTGTTTACTCTCAAAACATGAATATAACTCTGGATTTCGGGGTTAAACAAGAACTTTGGTCCAGTGTTACTTAATGAACATTTCCAAAAATGTTAAATTAACTCTAGAACAGATGGGCCTCATATAAACTCTGAGAAAATGTTAAAATTGATTCTGTGAGAGTCAATTTTAACATTGCACTTTTTGCTGTGTATTAATTGCACTCAGTAAGTTTTGTCCAGAAGTTAAAATGACTGATATAACTTGCATGTTATACGTTTTCATTTACATTCTTGAAGTTTACTGTAGTGAACAGTCATCCAGTCCTGCTTTAAGTCATGCTACAAAGGTTTTAGCATTGCCCTTGCAGAGAAAATGTAAGCAGATTTGACATATGTTCTTTAAACAGCACACACAATAAACAAAAGGTAAAAAAATAAATAAAATAAAATAAAAAATAAAAAATACAGGTGGATAAAGGTGCTTATACCACGCTTTTCCAGACCACATGGGATCTTACTGTGCAGAATGTGCATATATGTTCCACTGAAATATAAAATTGGATATTCCTACACCACTTGACAACGGTGTCTCATTTATTTCCACTCATGAAATTGTGACATGAGCCATTATAATTTCTATTGCTTGCGACAAGTTGTCTATTGTTTGAAAATGAATACCGGCATGTTACCTTGATAGGCATGAGATGGTTACGTGTGGTGCATGTGGATAAGTTGGTAATGATCACAAAAAAAAAGACACTGGGATCTTAAGAGGTCCAGCGTGAGAAGATTGTCTTCTAATCACTGCATGACCTTCAAGAAGTCTTTGGATAGCATTAAACAGCCCCAAGAGTTGTAGCTACAGGATGCTGCAGAGAAAATAGGACACCCCTGCGCTTTTATGCACAAACTATGCCACAATTTGGCTTCAAACAATGCGGACCACGATGTGATGAATAAAGAAATAATGGCATCAAAAAGAATATGAATATCCAACTCGGGTTTAAACTTAGACACAAGTGGCTTCCTGGGAGTTCCTCAAAGGCAGGATAACAACAGTGAGAAATCAACATTTGGAGTAAGCCAGTGTGGGCTGATTTGCATCGCACTAAATATTCATATTAGGGGGAATCACTGCGAATATGAAAGTGTAGCCGGGCTTGATCTAAAAACGAAACACCCCCACTGGTTACTACAAGAAGAAGCAACAACCGCAAGCAACAGTGATTTTCTGATTTAAATGGCACCATAATGTGTTTTTAATCACACTCATTCAAGTCTCATCAGTCAGTGTAATACGGTGTCACCCTGGTCGTACATGTGAAAGGCAAGTGTGAAGGGGGACACCAAAATATTGGACATGTTCAGTGTTGGGGAGTAACAGATTACATGTACTGGAGGACAAATTATGAGTAACTGTATTCAGTTACAGTTACTCTTTCAGTGAGTGGTAATGGGATTACAGTTACTTTGCTGAAATAAATGGATTACACGGCGGGATTTTCCCGTTTTCACATTTTGGGCTGTACCAGGTCTAAACCAAGTCTAAAAGCAGGTCCAAACCAGGTCTAAAACCAGGTCCAAACCAGGTCTAAAACCAGGTCTAAACCAGGACTAAAACCAGGACTAAACCAGGTCCAAACCAGGTCTAAAACCAGGTCTAAACTAGGTCTAAACCAGGACTAAACAAGGACTAAATCCAGATCTAAACAAGGACTAAAACCAGATCTAAACCAGGACTAAACCAGGTCTAAAACAGTATTTAACAGGACTAAACCATGCTGTGTGGACATGTCTCCTCATCTTCTATCAATAATATTTTTAATAAACATCTTATGTTCCGATATCCTGGTCTTTTCTTCTCTACAGCAAATCAAGTAATCCAAAGTATTCAGATTACGTTACTCACTTTAAGTAAATTAATTCTGTTACAAACTACATTTTGGTGTGTGTAATCTGTAATGTGTAGGAGAATACATTTTAAAAGTAACCTTCCCAACACTGGACATGTATCTCGGTAAAAACAAAATAAAGATCCAAAGATACATTCTTACCCGACAAGAACGCGTGATAAATATGGGATCATAACAGAGCATTCAGAATAAGAGATAAACAAGGACAGAGCTCAAACTAAATCACATACGCTTGGCTCTAAAACATATTGTAAAAAGTCTATGTGGCGTATTTAAACCTAATCAAGATAATGTCCAGGCAAATCCAAACCTATTGTGTGGAGTAACCAAAAGAATGAAGCAATTCAATTCTTACCATTCAAAAATGTAGTTTCCTTTCAAAATAAGAAAAGTGCTTCCTTATTATGCACATATCTAATTTCACCACACAGGTTAATGTTCGCTCACATAGCCTACTGTAAATTGAAGCTAAGTAGATGGTTATTTTGGAAGTAAAATGTAAAAAAAATAAAGTTTATAGAGAGGAGAAACCAAGATAAGTCCACTTTGGTATTCTGCTCACCAGCTCTTTTTCTTCCCTTCATTATTATACAAGGTATGATTCAGTAGTGGTTAGTATTCATCATGAGGAGCACTGATAAGCAGTCACAGATTATTGCTAGAACGAAGCTCACCGTTATCGTGGCAGTAAAATTACGCAAATCGTACGTCAGTCAGGTCTGAGCAGTGACCAAAATTGTCCATCAAATTCTATCGCAACTAGTAGAGACAGCTTATTCAGACACATTTTTTAAATAAAGTTGATCACCGATTCACAAACATTTCTTGATATTTCAGTGTCGTGACAGCATTTCTTTTTCACCCGCACTTCGGAACACCTGCATGAGAGGCTGCCATGCCGTGTCCACGCAGGTGTAAAGCGCGCGTCAGAGCGTCAAGTCCGCGGCCAAAAATTCTAGCCAAATAAAAGCGCACACCGACATCAAAATCGAGCACCGCCAGTGGTGCCAGATGTGGAATTAATGTCATTTGTAAACTTACCTTCAAATCAGGGGTTAAGTCACGCCACGGCAGCTGCTGGAAAAGTTGAAACCGCTCCTCCGCAGGTAAGTGAGTGGTTCGACCGCCGGGAACGTCACGCCGCTCTGCCGCTTTCGCCTCTCGGTTGTGAACCAGGAGTACCACCCCTCGCTCGGATGCTCTACCGCCCCCCTCCCTTTTGCCTCAACCTCTGGAAGAAGAGAGAGGGGGAAAAAAAAAAGTAATAGCGTTTTTTTTTTCCCTCCTCCTTCACAAAGACAGACTCGAATAAAAGCGGGCTCCCGAACGCACTTCAATGGGTTTTAGGAAATCCCATGGCAACGCGGCGCAACTTCCCCACGTTGTGACCGGGTTAAGGCGCTCCCTCTGCCCCAGCCCCCAAACAGTGACAGCGGCATTATTCCCCCCCAAGCCTGAAAACGAGCAGGTTCTAGCGGGAGGGAGGTGGGGAGGGGGCTATATACTGCGCTACTGAGGACGCTGTTAAAATATGAATGAGGAGAAATCGCTGTTAAATGTACCAGGCCAGTGCGTAATTGACGCATTGCCACGACTTAATATGCCAATTAACTCGCTGAGCCACTGAGTTAACTGTTTAACCCACCCCCCACCCCTTTTTTTATTTATTTATTTTTTTTCCAATAGACTTTTTATTTTTTCAGTTCAATTCCCTTATTGTCATTGTCAAATAAAATAACAACAGAATGATGTTAGAGCATCATACAGACAGCATAGTATTTTAAAAGTGCATAACAGTGTAGAGCCCCCCGTTTGTGAAACCTTACCGGGGGTGGGAGGTGGGGGCCTCGACATTGAGCTACAGTCGTGCCTCAATATATCACGGTTCACCTTTCGCGGTCTCACCATTTCGCTGATTTATTTATTTATTTATTTTGTGTGTGTGTGTGTGTGTGTGTGTCAGTTTTGCATGTTTTTTGTTTGTTTGTTTGTTTGTTTTTTTACACACGGGTGGGTCAGATCTAAACCAGGACTAATATTGGACTTAAAAGAGAGAATGCTGAGCAGTTTGTCTGCAAACCGCGATCGGGCAATTGCCGCGTTTACCTCCGTGAAGTGCGGAACTCTCCATCGGTCCTTTTTCCTGCGGTCACCTCCGAGCCCGTCCCGACAGTGAGTCCTGTTTCAGTTCTGGTTTAGTCCTGGTTCAGTCATAGTTCAGTCCGTGGTGTAGGAAGCGCAAAAGTTTGCTATAATGACGAGTTAAGGGGCGGGTACGGGTTTCTAAAAATGGACCCGTGCAGGACTCTGCGCTGTAGGCTCCATTACGGAATAAATGAATCTTCAGTTTGTTACATAAAGAAGGAGGAAAATAACAAAAGGACGACAGCAGCAATAAGTTTTAAGAAGGAAGTAAAAAGGGTTGCACCTGTCCTGTGTGAGAAAAGTGTATAAAGTTTGTGCTGAGGGGTTTTACAGACTTAAAACAGATAGAATATTTGTAAAATATAAAGTTGACTACTTCGTGGATTTCACCTGTCGCAGGTTATTTTTAGAATGTAACCCCCACGATAAACGAGGGACACTGCACTCTCACCTCCCAACCTGTGCACATGACCTCCCACTTGTCCCGACCGGGATGGAAAACGGAGAATTTCTTGTACAAGTCATTGTTAAATGCACATTTACGCTTCGGCATGTTGCAGACTGACCGACTGTTTGTGTCTCACTCCTTCTGAGTCACAGACGCTACGAGAGACGCTCAGTTTAATGCCCCCAATGAACGGTAATGAAAACCCGGACATGTCCTGATGAAAATGTCCGGGGAAAAACGACGTTTGGCCACCCTACACTATGTGAACATTAGAATACAGAATTAGTAATATCAGTGCCGCAGCAAAGTTTTTTTGTTTAGTTTTTTGCTTTCTTTCAATCATGAGAGTTGAACATTAAAATGATATACTGCATTATATGATACACAGCGTAATTAAAAGTAATTTAACTGTGTGGGTCTGGAATAATATCAATAAATAATCCTTAAAGGTGCACTGTGTGTTGCTGCTTTGTCTGGAATGTTTCACAGTATGGTATTAAACCGTTCTGTCTCCATGGAGCCCAGACCAGACCAAGTTACAGGTCAGATCTGTGGAGAGGCGACCCCGCTTGTCAGAATGCATGTTTTTCTATATTTTTGAGCTATGAATCCATCTGCAGTGTAATAAATGGAAGGCAGAGCTGGTGAACGTAATACTGTGGAATATTCCAGGCAGAGCAATGACATATCCATAGAAACAAGCAGACGATGGAGCCCCAACCAAAAAGTTACATAGTGCACCTTTAAAGGTCTCACTGCTTTGATAATACTGTAGAACTGTCTCCTAATTGTGTACGACACCCCATGTCCTTTACAACCAGTGCTGGGAAGGTTACTTTTCAAATGTATTCCCCTACAGATTACAGATTACACACACCAAAATGTAGTTTGTAATGTAATCCATTAAATTACTTAAAGTGAGTAACGTAATCTGAATAATTTGGATTACTTGATTTGCTGTAGAGAAGCAAAGACGAGGAAATCTTCACATAAGATGTTTTGTCTGTTAAAAATAAAATAAAATAAATAAAAAGCCCAGACTTTACTGAACCAAATTAAAAATATTATTGATAGAAGATGAGGAGACACGTCCACACAGCAACATTTAGACCTGGTTTAGTCTTGTTAAATCCTGTTTTAGTCCTGGTTTAGTCCTGTTAAATCCTGGTTTAGTCCTGGTTTAGACCTGGTTTAGACCTGGTTTAGTCCTGGTTTAGTCCTGGTTTAGTCCTGGTTTAGACCTGGTTTAGTCCTGGTTTAGTTCCGGCAATGAGTGGAATTACTGAAAGAAAAAAAAAGGGGGATATAGCCCAAAATGTGAAAACAGGAAAATACTGCCGTGTGATCCATTTATTTTAACCAAGTAACTGTAATCCAATTACCACTCATTGAAACAGTAACTGTAACTGAATACAATTACTATAATTTGTACTCTGATTACGTAACTCCGTTACATGTAATCTGTTACTCCCCAACACTGTTTACAACACATGTCTGTATTTTTCGATCTATTTTCTATATATATCTATGTTAATCTGTGTTTTCTTTCAGTGCAGTATAACCAAAACACAAACCCAAGTCTAGTGAAAATCCAGTCTGTTTATTTGGAATATAAGGGTATGACAGGCACACCAATGATTGTATTGTTAGTGGGGAAACTACCTGCTGTAGATTGTACTCAGGTGTCGTCTGCCATCCTTTCTCTTCGTGGTATTGGATGCGTCCTGCCCTGCGAGACCAGCTGTGCCTCTGTACTGTCTGGTGGAGGGCAGCTGATTCATCTTAAGAATTTGCTGGCACATTGGTCCATTCGTCTTGTCTTCAATAATATGGATTCTGCCAGTAACCTAGAAAAGAAATAGCCCCCCGTGATGCAGGAGGGACCCAGATCAACGAGGGGGCGGCTGAGGTTTGCTTTTAACGAGTACAAAAGACAAATCATTATTATGTATTGTTTTTACAAGCGAGTGTTATTAGCGAGTTGTTGTGCAGCCCCAAGCAGAAGGGGGAATACATCAGAAATCAGAAACGTCAACACATTCAACTGATGACAGTTAAAGGATCGTGTTTAGGAACTTTAAAGCCACACTATATAACTTTTTATCCATAGAATAAACACAAATAAAAGCATATCTTTGATATATTTGTAATTATTGCAATAAAAAATAGAAAGAAGAAAAAAATGTCCATGGAATTGCTATTCCTTTGACTATAAACTTCCACAGCATGACTTAAAACATACAGTATGTATCTTCATGGAGAATGTTAACTTTCTATTTCCATGGAATCCTGCAGGTTGATATTCTACCTCCAGAATGGTACATAAGCGAAATAAGCATAACTAATAGAACAGCAAAACAATAAAAAAAAATTTCTGACAGTAAGAAAAAAGAGAAATGTAGCTGAGAGTTTAAATGGTAAAGACCAGAACAGGCAGCAAAACAACAAGGACTCTATTTGTACAGAACATAATTTTAGCCTCAAATGGACAGGCTATTAGTGCATAATGTATCATAAAAACCTTTTATGCTCCATTATCAGTAATATAAATTAATGTGTTGCAGCTTCATCCATTTGGCTTATATACTGTTTCCCTAATTGTTACTGGCATATACGAATGTGCATTACTGAAATTTAGACTCTTTCAGGAACAAAAGCAAACCATTTGTTTGTACTCTTCCTCAGTAGATTGAATGTTAACAGGTGCTGCTTTGGTACTTTCACAGCTGTAAATATTTCACCATAAAACAGCCTTGTGCGTTATGGGCTAATGGTCTCAGTGGAGATGGGTGATTTCAGCACCTCTGACAGCAGCAGATCATTAAGAACTCTTTGGATCAGAGGAGTGGGCTCCAAAGGTCAGCCAGAAATCAATTTATCCAATAACCACCAAGCTGTACACCGAAATAGAGTGGATTTTCTACCTGGAAATGACGACAGTGGGGAAGCGTCTCTGTGCTGTAGTAAAGCTATTTGGTGCTATTTTGAAATATACTCAAAGCGGGGTCTCTTGCATCACGTCAGTTGTGAAGTTATAAGTCCCTGATGTTTGCAGTGTCAATGTTTTTATTACGTTGTTATTGTTATTGCGCCACACGCGAAAGATGGTCAGGAGATTGATGTCTGGCTTATGTCTTTTTACCACTCCTGCCAGTCTTATCTGTGACGGAATGGATGTCAGCGAGAGTGGACGCCTGTCGCTATGGCATCGCTATGTAGTGACGACTTACAAAACACAACTCTGGTCCAACCACTTCTTAACCCCCTCAGGCTCAAATTAAATTTTAGTAATAGGAAAAAATCTGATATTTGGGGAAAATGATCATATGGGGCAGTAATATACAATCCTGACTATTTTTTGAGAGAGACCTTCACATCCAGTGTGTTCTGGGATGTTGCAGATTTGCAGCATTGGTCCGGTGTGGTAAATTAACACTGAAGACTGAAAATGATATGAACACTAACTTTATGTGTAAACCACTTTTCATAACAATGAAAACATAAAGCACAGTGTAACAGCTT